GATATCGATAAGGACGAAGATTTGATTTAATTTTCCTGCTTCATCTCTGGTATAACTCAAATCAAAATGTCTGTCCTCCGTGAACTTGGTAAAACTGGCGCTAAAATTCCAGTAATTGGACTTGGATGTATGGTACGAAATTAATTTCTCATCTCTATTGTGCATATGTGGATAACTAAATAGATTAATTTCTTTTAATTAAGGGAATGAGTGAGTTTTACGGATCATCTGATGAAGCGGAAAATTTAAAAGTATTAAATCGTTCGATTGATCTAGGATGCATCTTTTGGGACACTGCTGTAAGCATAATTTTTGACCGTATTACCTAGATATCTGTATTAAATAATTTTACTTACATGAATGAATATAACGAATTATTGAATAAATCTTCATCTCTGTAAATTGGTATAATGTAAAGTGAAATTTTTTAATGTGTATATGCTAGGTAATCTAACATATACACGTGTCATATAGTACTATAAATTTATTTTATTGCTAATAATTATAATTGCTAATAATTATAATAAAGGATATGTATGGTTGTGGAAAAAACGAAATATTACTTTCAAAAGTTCTTAAAGAACGACGTAATGAAGTTTTTCTTTGTACAAAATTTGGTAATGTTCGTGGTGAAAATGGGGAGTTCTTAGGTGTAAATGGGAAGCCAGAATATGTTCACGAATCATGCGAAAAAAGCTTACAAAGATTAGGTGTTGACTGTATCGATCTTTATTACCAGCATCGTGTCGACCCTACCGTGTAAATAGATTTTTACATTAAATACTAGTAATTAATGAAATATTTACAATAATAATCTAATAATAATATTTACAATAATAATCTAATAATAATAATTATTATTATGATAATATAATAATGCACAGTCCAATTGAAGATACAGTTAAGGCTATGGCTGAACTTGTTGAAAAGGGTAAAGTTAAATATATTGGACTTTCCGAATGTTCAGCTGATACGCTTCGACGCGCTCACAAAGTTCATCCAATCGCTGCCGTTCAGGCACGTAGTTTTACTAATGTTAAGCTATATAGTATGTTATTTTCATATTATGTATTTATATTAAATATTATACATACATTTACATTCTATACAGATTGAATACAGTCCATGGACCCTTGACATTGAAACAAATGGACTTAAAAAAGCTTGTGAAGAACTTGGCGTTACAATTGTCGCATATAGTCCATTAGGACGTGGTATTTTGTCGGTACGCTCTTTATTTTTTTTCACAGAAATGCATTACATAATACAAGCGTTAACTATATATTATTGTATTACTAATTTCGTTTATAAATTACACAACTATATAGGGAAAATATAAATCTATAGATGATTTTGAACCTAACGATTTTCGTAGACACAATCCTCGTTATGTGGGTGATAATTTTGCCAAAAATTTAGGACTCGTAAAAGAAATTGAAAAGATAGCTGAAAAGAAAGATGTTACTGCTAGTCAACTTTGTTTGGCATGGGTTTTGGCCCAGGTTTGCTTTGATTCTACACTCATATTCATATAAGAGTTAAATTATTCCATGTTGTATAGTCGTGAAATAACGTTCTTGTGTATTATTTTGGAAATCAACTCCTTTTAAACATCTACTTTGGTTCAAAGTAATTCTCATGTGTGTCCTAAAAAAATATCGTGCA